AGAGAGAGAGAGAGAGAGAGAGAGAGAGAGAGAGAGAGAGAGAGAGGAGGGAGGAGTGTCGAGATAGAGGAGGACAAAATCTGAGAAGAGGAAGTTCAGCGTTGCCGCCGTACACTCACGCCAGAGATAGAAATCCGCAACAACAATGGCGCATTCGCTGTGGATTCCAATATGGCCCCAAGCCAATCACTCACTCAACTCCAATCATCGATCCACATACCCGCACCGACGATCCCGGCCGTCGCGTGCTAACTCCCACCAATGCGATCGTCACCCCGCTGACGTAAACTCTGCGTGGTTCGCCCCAATCCCACAGTCCGTCGTGGTGATCGAGCGCGCAACCGGCCAGCCTATCGTCAGCCCGACAGGACTTTCCGACTCGCACCAAACACTCTGCCTAGCCACTGCTTCCCGGAAGCTGGCGTGAGAGTCGAGAACGTAAGAGAGATCTGCGGGCGCGTTTGCGGAATTTATAGTGGCGAGAAGGGGAGCGAGGGGGAGAGAAGGCAGGGGGAAAGTCGAAGTGTAGGGAAAGAAGCATGAGGAGAAGACTTTGAGAAGAGCGCTTCGTGGAAGCCATGTTGATCCTTCGAGGCTCAAGGTTCAGCCAATCAAATTCGTCGCACAATAGAAAGATCCTATTGATCCACGTACCTGATTGGTGAGCGGGAGTTATCGAAGGATCGACCGGGCGTCGTGTGCTGGATTCAGAGGGTGAGAAGAGAAAAGGCGCGCGAAGTAGCGCAAGACGGGTCCAAGATTCAGATGATCAAGAAAGGGAAAAGGGGCGCGCAAAAAACGAAGCGGGAGAAAGAGAGAGAGAAAACAGTTACGAGGAGAGAGAAAGAGGAGGGAGAAGGGGAAGGGAGCGCGGGAGGGCGCGATGTGGGGGACAGAGAGGAGAAAACTTTTGCATGCGCGGCGCCATCAACAAAAAAGAGAAAAAGGCACCAAAACAGTTACAGCTTGCCTACCAATTCAAAATTGAAATCACCATATCCGCGCGCGAAAGAGCGACGCGGAAAAAAAAGGTCCTACGCCTATTCGTATCCCCACAAAATTCTGAGAGTTTTCCCCAACGTGACCGAGATCATTCACACACAAAAAAAGACACGTCGAGGTTCCGCCTATCCCGGAATTCCCAACTGCCAGACCCAATTCCTAGTGTGCTCGCTAAGGCGCACGTAAATTCCTATGTATTTCCTGAAGTGCAAAAAGAAAAAGCAGAACCCGAGAATCATAAAAGCTTTCAAAAAGGCGGCACCCGAAATCAAGAAAACGAAACGGGGTTTTTATGGGGTTGGTATGATACAAGCAAAAGAAAGAGTACGAAAGATAGCACGGGTTCGGGAAGTAGTTCGTCACATATGTGACGCGCAGGGGGTTCCAAAATTATGTGATCTCTTGATTGCATGTCATGGCGGAGCAGGAGAGAGAGAGGGAGAGAACAGAGTGATGCATGAGGAACCAAGCGTATCAACAAATGATCTGGCCAGAGTCCATGTTGATGCCAACTTCAATTGCAATCTTCTGTGGGCTTGTGCTGCTGGAATCGTCGATGGTCATCCAGGTGACGCCATCATCGTCCGCCGGTTCTCCGTGTGCTCTGCACCCCTGATTATCGCTGCCCGTCGAATCGGAGCGTAGGTTGACGTCGTCGTCGATAACGTGATCTTCACGAAGCTCGCTGATCCGTGTCGTTTTCCCCTGCTGGTTAGATGGAGAGAGAGAGAGAGGGGGGGGGGAGGAATAGTGATGCGATCGGGATCTATCTCCTAGTTGGAATGGGCCAATAGAGACAGTACATGGAGGGGATCTCTCTGGGACGTCGGGGAGGAAGTGGGGGTAGATAACGATTCATCCTTTCTACCGTCACCGGAAGCTCCTCATATCGGATGATCAGGTGGAAGTGAGGGAAGTGATCGCCGCTGCGAGGGAGGGAAGCGAGGTAATCGCGATAGAAGGATGAGAGGGTGCGGAGAAGCGCCGCTCAAAAGAACTCGTAGTGGCAGCAGGCGGGGATTGTCCCCGTGGCTACGCAGTAGACTTCTACCACGTTGCATCGTTCCCATGCAGCGCTGAATAGCAGGATATGCCAGCAGAACGTGGGGGCAGCGGGCTGAAGGGATGCGTGGGGGTAGACGGTAGCGAGTAGGCGGGTAGAGTAGAAGCCCGGGAAGAGATGGGGGAGGAAGGGATGGAGGGGAAGGTGACGGGGGTGCGGATCTGTTCGAGGGTAAGAAAATCAAGGGGTCGGCGGGATAGCGTCCGAGGACGAAAGCCTATCGCCCGCATCGGTACGTGGGCGAATTGGGGGACGGGTGGGGCTAGAGGAGGAGGGGGATCGGCTCCGTCTCCGTCGCGCGGTGCTTGAGGTGGCGGCTGCAGGGTCGCCATCTTCGGGCTTTGGCGGCTCCGGATCTCTGGTCGGATCGTTACCGATGCGCAGGCTGGCTCCGCTGGCGAAGTCCAGTTGGCGTTTTCCGATGGCAATTTCTTCGCGCTTTCGCGTTGCTTCCGGATCTTCCGTCTCCATGCCCGTGCGCGCCGCTTCCTCTGGCAAAGCTTCCCACTCAAACTCGGTTCCTTCTTCTCCCTCCTCTTCTTCTTCTTCACTCAGCTCGCCCTCGCTATACTCGCTATAGCTTCCCTCCTCTGACGTTCCCTCGTCGTTGTCTTCTTCGTCGTCGTCGACCACCACTTCCTCCGCCTTCGGATAAAAGGCGTGAGGGATGATGTCGTACGGCTTCAGATACTCCTGCCGGGATGGTAGAGTATCTTCGTCCCTGGGCTCCTCTAAGCACGCAGTCCACTGAAGGTACGGATCCAATGATCGCTCGAGAATATACGGAGCAAGGCTGTCGTTGCTTTGCGAATAGATGTCGGGCGAGAGGTCGTCCGCCAATTTCACGATCGGCGCGATGAGCTCCTGCGCAATCAACTGGCGGCGCCCCGGCTGTACCGATCCAAAAAGAAAGCCAAGAAGATCGCCCTCCACGTTAGTCCTCCAAGCTTGGATGATCAGCAACTCCGGATTTTCGATCCACGCAGGATGCTCGCTGGTCTGCGTCCACGTCACCTGTACTCTGGCCAAGCAGAAAGACAACTCCTCAAAAGTTTCGCGCCACAGCCGCCAATGCCCAGGATTGATAAGAAAGATTGAAAGAGGCTCGAACGAGAAGGAAAGAGAAGGATGAAGATCGGATTGCCAGAAGGTGGGAAAAAGAGAGGGGAGACCAAAGATAGAGAGAGGAGCGAGAGGATCGGTGTGGTTCATTGGGGACGCGGGAAGGGGACGAGGGTGGGGATCGCAACTGGCCGCTCGCGCGGAGAACGGCGTCTCGCCAAGATCCGGTGTAAAGATCGGGACGAGGTTGTACCCAGGTCGGGCGAGGACGTGCTGCCACACGTTGGACACCTACTCCGTCCACTCGCCCAACGAGGTCAAGATCGCGGTATGCCACTGCGGATTGACCGAGCTGATGTTGCCGTTGAACGCCACAACCGTGGTGACGTGGCTCGTTCTGGGAGCCGCTCGCCGATGAACTGCGATTACCTCCGCAAATACCACTGCGTGAGGACTCCCTTCGATTCGAAACGCGGCGGCGGCACACACACCCACGTCGCAGAAAAATTGTGCTAAACGCCGAAGATCCGTATTGAGCCGCGGGTGACAAACTTGTCGAATCTCTGAGATGTGGCCACGTGGCTGCAACAGCTGTTCGTCAAGAGCCCGCTCCGTGATGAAACTCATGGCGAGGTCGGGGAGGAGGACGAAGGACAGGAGGGAGAGAGCGGAGAGAGAGTTAGATCGTCGTCGTTCTCCTCGCTTTCCGAGGAAGAAGAGGGAGGAAGATCAGAAGGAGGAAGAAGACGGAGGTAGGAGGTATGCCGAACGATGGGGACAAAGCTATGGCTGGCACTAGCCTCAGGCGCGATGCGCACCGTGTTGGCGCCGTTAAGACCGAGCTCGACAACGTGAAAGCAGCCAGAGAACTTGGGAGCAAGTTTGCGGTCGCGTGCACATTTACGTACCTGCACTAGGTCCCCTAATTTATATTGATGTTGGGGCCCAGCATTTCCATTTCGAGCCTTGTAGCTACGGACCTGCCTACCGTGGGCCAGATCGGTCATCCTTTGTCTTTTTCAGGCTAGTTTCGGGACAGCCCGTTCCATTAATTCGGTGTACCTTTTGGCTTTGGCCTTGAGGGTTGTACGTGTGTCTCTACCCCCTGGTTCGGCAATTTTCGAGTTACCCCGGTAGTCGACACAGGGGAGGCTATTAGTACGAAGTTGAAAAGGGGTAAACCCCGTGGACTCGTGAGGGGTGGCTCGGTGGATCCCGACGATCTGATATACGATCTCGGGCCACGGACGCGTGTCGTGTGCCGCTAAATTCCTACGAAGGGCGGTTTTAATCATACGGTTGGCGTTCTCAACCAACCCGTTCGACTGGGACACGTGGGGTGCCGTATGTCGGAGCGTGACACCCCTTCGTGCGAGCAGTTCCTCTACTTCTCCCTTAAATTCGGACCCATTGTCGGTTAGAATTTATTCCGTATCTAGATGGGTATAGAGAAACCGATCGATGTACGTAGCTATTTCTGCGGCTTTGCGCGTCTTGCATGGGTAAACTTTGATGTACTTGGAAAAACTGTCAATTAATACTAAAAGGATAGAATATTCACAGCGGTTTGGGCCAGGTGGCACATCGATATCTGTCGTGTCCATACTGACTCGCTGGAAAGGACGCTCTACTTCCGTTGGTACTATTGTGTTTGGTCCCCGAATTGGGGCGCGATCAGTGGCACACACCAGACAGTTGGCGACAATGTATTTGACATCATCTCGTATGTTGGACCAGAACCATCGGTTCTGGTCTACAGTTGCCTCCGTGACACGTATCGCGAAATGAGCGGCTTGTTCCTCGTGAGCAGATCGGATTCAATCATATCTCTGGAATGGATGGGGAACCGTCAACCACGACCCCGATCCGCCAGTTTTACGCTTTTCCAAATGACCGTTGATCGATCGATAGTCCCGAGATCTCTCGGTCGCCCTACGTCTGTCATGTTTGGTGAGGTGACCCAATGATAATCCCGCTAATTTCGGCAATAAAATTTTATCCATCCAAACCTCCGCTCGTCGGTATTTTTCGTCGTATTCAGGGCCGTCTGTACGGGCGGCCTCGATCGAACCTCCGTGGGGAGTTTGTTCGTTCTACACAGGGGGCACCTCCATTCCTTGCTACTCGTCTGATATCGAACGCAGGCCCCGTGCGCACGATTGATACACGTGGCACATTCTACCCAGTCGACAAACCCGGTTTCGAAAGGATGACAAACGACCTCATAAACCCGTGCAATGCACGTGCAAAAATAACAGAATTTATCGGGGAGGGTGGCAAAGAAAGCTGAGGACGTGAGAGGGGCAGAATTAGTAGGAGATGAAGGAATTGCGGAGGCAGGTGGGGTAGTCATGATGACAGAGGAGGAAGGGATGGGACTGTATTGCAGAGAGGGTAAAACAAACAAACTAGTCCTCGCGTCGCTTACTGCTTTGATAAGATCTCCACTTGGTCGTACCGAGGTCCGATGTCCTGTTCGGGTTCGTTCCACGGAATGACCTCCTCATTCTTCGGAACTTTCTCAGGTCGGTGCAGTCGTGTCAGCCCGTCCGCATTCCCATGTCTCTCGTGCTTCCGATGACGAATGTCAAAATCCATGCTCTTCAGCACCGTTGCCCATCGCTCGATCATGCTCGAGTAATCCTTCGACTTCTTCAGAGCCAACAGGGGCTCATGATCAGTTACCAGGGTGAACCTTCGCCCGTACAGGTAAGCCCGAAAGTGATTGATTCCCCAGAGAGCCGCGTAGCATTCTCCCGTTGGAGCAGCGTAGTTGCGCTTGCAGGCGGGCACCGATTTAGACGCATACTCCACCACATTCTCGAGTCCGCTTGGTCCCACCTGGGCAAGGATCGCCGAAATTGCCTCTAGCAGCCAGTCAGTGATGGGAACAAAAGGCTTTTCGGGATCCGGTCTTATAAGGACCGGCGCCGAAATGACAGCGGTCTTGAGTTTGGAAAAGGCTTGATCGCACTCCAGCGTTCAGATCAACATCTGATCTTTGCGCAGCAGATTTGTGAGGGGTCCCGCAATCGCCGCGAAGCCCTTGATAAATCTTCGGCAGTACGAGGCCAGGCCCAGAAAGGCACGAACTTGAGTGATAGTCGTAGGCACCGGCGCATCCCTGACAGCTGCCACCTTCTGCGGCTCCGGTTGGAGTCCCTTGTTTGTCACCACATGTCCCAAGAAGGAAATTGTGGTAAGAAAAAACTGACACTTCTCAAGCGCCACTTTGAAACCCGCATCTCGTAACGCGTGCAGTGCCCCATTCGATGTGCTGCACGTGTCCCTCGTAGGAACTCGAGTACACCAAGATGTCATCCATGTACACAATCACATAGTAATTGATGATGCTCTACGCCAAATGAGTCTTCCGCACAAAATTTTGAAAAGCCATGTTCATGGATCGCTGGAAGGTCGCGGTGTGACACTTTTCCAGTAAATCCACCTCTGGCGACCGGAAAGCCAACAGGCTGTCACGCAGGATTTTGACTGTTGATTGCAATAAATAAAATGAATTAAATAATGCAAATCCCTTCCTGTTGTGTGCGTCCGGCTTCGAGCGAGACCCTTCAATTACGATCTTCGCCGGACCCCGGTCTTGGAAATCTTTTATTTTGATTCGGAACAGCAGAGAATCATGCAAATAACAATCATAAAATTATGGGGGGTGCTATGCATGCATAAAATTATGTCAATCTGGTTTTGAGAACTGTGACAGAATCATCCATGATAGCAATCATCAGGCAAGAACAATGCAAGAAGCAAGATCGACTGACTCGAGCAGAGACACGACCAAATGAATGAGGGAAGAATGAGAACTCATAATAATCTCAGAAAGTACACATAAACAGGCATGATCAGCACCTCTCAAATGTCCTCACTCATCCCTCTAGTCAGTCCCTCTCAATCTCACTTTTCACTGATCTTCTCTGGTGTCGTGACCCACGCCCACGTACAATCTGAGACTGAGGCTTCGTGACAAAATGCCACCTGAAGCCAGCAAGCTCTGAGCATGTCCATCAGAGGCACATGACACGATAGTTAATCATGGAGCAAAACTCCTCCCACAAAGTAGGCAGTCCGTCCACTGAAAAGACTCATCGTCTGAGGTAGGGATACTCGGTGGGCTCGGTCAGCGCCTCAACGTCGATCACTGCCGGTGAGATGTACCTCTTTCCCAAACCAATCACATCCAACCAACTCGTGCCATCCGTGAGAAGAGAAGGGACTGGAGGCCTAGGATAGTTAGTATAAAGCATCGGCCCAAAACTGCAGATCAACGTAATGCCACTCTCATCTAGCTCCCTCTCTCTTTGCTTAAGGTATTCAGTGGCTGAGATCCAGACAGGATCGAAAAGCTCATGAGCCTCCTTGCCCTTGTTCAGGTAAGGCCTCGGATCGTGGATAGTGCCATCAGCGAAACTGGTCTGGACAACGAAGATTGACAGATCTCCCTGTCTGAAACCAATGGCACTAACATACTGATAATAGAATGCCTCTTTGCATGAAATCCGATCGAGGCTGGCCAGCACTAACTCACTCACCGGCGTAGGTTCAACTGTGCTCATGAGTACTCTTGCTAGCGCAAGTCAACCAGATGGTCCCGGAGAACTGGTTACCAAAACTGATTGCAGAAAACTGATTGCTCATGATTGATTGCAGATTAAATGATTGTTGATGATTGATTGCAGATTAAATGATTGCTGATGATTGGATACAGATTAAATGATTGTTGATGTCCGGATAGTGAGTTGTTCTTGTTCAGAGAAGGAACGCTCACTGATGGCTGCCAACAATCCTCCTTGCTTCCTCAATAGTACCCACGGAAGTCATGGTGGCACATAGTCTGCCGCTCTTATCATGCAAGTAGTATGTGTACTCGATTTTCGTATGATTCCTCACGAGGGTCAGTGCATGTTCCATCATCTTAGTAATCTCCAGATTGTATTCCTCAACTGCACTCTCCCTCCTGGTCTCTGCAGTGTCCTGATACAGAGAGCAGGAGACTCTAACTGTGTTGCTGTCCTCCATATCCTTACCGAATTCTCCCTACATCAGTTCACCCAACTCAGGATGGGTGACTCTTGGATGATATAGGTGTGAAAAGGGTTGTTGGGTTGATTGTTGTTTCGAATAGCTGTTCGAGGTTGCCGTTTCCAACTGCAGTTTCTGATTACTGAATCACTTGCTGAATTAATGGTATGTATGTGAACCGATTACCGATTCGATTGCAGATTCGGGTGCTGATCTGATTGCTAAACTACTTACTGATCTGATTGCTGTTTTGAAAACTGACTAGTTGCTGTCCTGAGAACTGGCTGGTTGTTGTTCTGAAAACTGACTGAATATCAGCTGGATGTCAATTAAGCCGGCGACTGATTAACAGATGAGTAATGATTTGAATAGAGACCGATTAACAGCCAAGTAATCCCCATAATTTAGTTTTCCCGGCTCTGAATGCTGTTCTGAATGATAGGTACCGTTATGAGTAATATGTGTCGTCCTTAGTAATAGATACCGTCCTGAGTGACGGTCCAAGTGTTGTCCTGTATGCCGTTCTGAGTACCGGATATTGCTCTAAGTTATGAACACTATTTTGAAAATTATACATTGATCTAAGAGTAGTTCTGAACGCTGCTATAACTGCTAGCTAGGAAAAGAGACGCTGCCAAATTCACTGACGGATGGCTTTCCAGAGATGGTGATCTGGGCAGTGCCGAGCTCATGCGAGTTTTGTACCAGCCTGCTCCACACTTTCTAGTGAGGAACTTATACTGTGCAATTTACTGTCAGATTCACGAAAATAAATTACATACTCAATGTATTTTATCTCTCTTGCACTCCTGACTGCGAACTCTCTCTGTGTCTGTTTGTGAAAGCCCATAATCTGACAAACACGATCCTCCTAGTTTTCACATTTTTCCAGGATAACTGTATTTTTCACCACGAAGATCTCTCTGTCCTTTATGATTACTCTATACCCGGAAACTCAGACCAGAGGCAGTGCATCCCATAAGTACGAGAGGACAGTCTGAATCCCGCCCTCGACAGGCAGACCACCAATCTTAGTTGTAGGAGAGTTTTAACTAAAACTGGTCTGTAGCCTGAGGATTTGGGGTAGGTAGTCAGAGGCGGATCCCATCCGATTCAGCTCACTCCACTTCTTTCCTGTTAGTTCAAGATGAGAACCATAGTTTCTGAATAGACTTGCTGGTGATGCCGCCCGTCTCTAATCCTTTGTGTATCGCTTATACGCAAAAAGCTTCTTCGTTGGCCTATACACGCACTATAGAGAAAAAGTGAGGCATGTTGCACTGAACGTGTTAAGTGTTCACCCGTGTCCAAAGCATGATTCCCAACCACACATTGTTACAAAGCAGCATCACAGTTGCCTAGTCTCCTTTCCTCACCGAGGGGCTGATAGTTACTTGTTGTTGAGTATAGCAACTGACAATGAGTTATGGAGAATTAGTTGCTGGGATGCAACATTAGGTCGTCTAAAATGACCGCCTTTATGAGGCTGGGACAGGTCTCGCTCAGCACTAGTAGGGACACAGCAAATGGCATAGTTCAACCATGAACACTCGGGATTAGCACTGGTTATAAACCCTTATTTGATAGTTTGAACAAACACGCGCATGACAGCGTGACTGCCTAGGGTAACGGCTGCTGCCCGAACTCGAAACTAAGTACCATTTTTCGTTAACACCATATTGCCATGACTAAAACTACTGAATCAATGAGGTCCTCCAAGGGCTGCCATGCACAGAGAGGGGAACCTCACTTTTTTCGTTGAACTTTTCACTGACGGGATCAACCTAGCGTCGCCTAAAAAAAAAAAAACTTACGCCTTCCCTATGCGCCATACCATAAAAGGCAGCTCTGTCAAAAAATGCTTGTCACATGCGCGTTAGATAGGTGCCATCATCTGTTGGAAATGACCCAGAGAATCTGGGTAGACCTTGTACTCTATGAGGGGCCAAGCACTACTCACCACATCCTTCCCAGTTTTTCCTTTACACCCATCACTGGGTACTACCATAGACAAGGTCTTCTTGACATTAAGAGATGATTAACCAAACATCTCACTCAGTGTAGTTTTGGGATCTCCCCTTTTCCTGCAACCAGTACTTGTTTTTTTCTATTCAGGAGCCCTCTTCATAACAAACTCACTTTGTCAGACAATGCGTTAATCACCATCGAGCAGATACTTGACAAGAAGATATACGACCTTTCTAAGCACTGACTTCCGCCTGCTCATCACTTGCCGATATCCGGGCAAGATTAGTTACTTTAATATAGACCCGAGGTTAAGCATTCTAGCTGTTTTTAACTTAGGTAGCAGGGCTTCAATGGTCACTTCGCATTCAGAACAAGGCCTTTGAGCCCACCGGCCCAATTAAGCGAGCCACGTTTAATCTCATAGTCCCGATAATTCTTGCAGTGAGAGGCTTATGAGCAGAATGGGTCACAACAGTAATAGGCATAGTTGGAGGAGATGGGGAAGTTGTAAACGTCATGGCCAAGAGGTCAAAAGGGAAAAAAGAGCACGGGAAGGGCTTTAGGGCTGATCAATTCAAGCCTTATCAATTGATAGTCCTCCCATTTCAATCAGAACACAGTCTCGCTCTTCCTTCCAACCCAAACATTCCATTTTGTTTTCGGTACTTGATCCACTGTCTCCATAATATTGTCCACTGACGGAAAGACCCATGTCTTCGAACATAGATGGCCATTCACTCAACAAGGCCAGATCGTTTCTTAATTCCTCCTTGGGAAAACAGTACGAGTAGTTCTGATTGCCTTTTAACCACTTGAAGTCCAGACCAACAAAATTAGAGTTACTTCCAGTGGATAGTTCAGGAAACTTTGATACAGCAGGCAAAGCAACCACGACTTGGGTCTTGATTAACTACTACATGTGCCCTCCCGGTCATCAACACTATCATCCTCTGATTGAAGGTCAGGCACAGAGACCCCATGAGCTCCCAAGAACAATTCAACCAGCAAAAGAGATTAGCCCGAATTACCAGCTCCTTTAGACCAGTGCAAACTATCGCCTACAACAGTGAACGCAAAATCGTGCTATCGAACCTTCCCAGTTAGCATAGCTCGTCACTCATCATTAACTGGCGGCCGACGGTAACAATCTCGCTCAGCTCTCAAGCGCGCGGCGGGGACCGCCTACTTAGTCTAGTAACGTGGGAGACAAGTCACCAGCGTAACTGGAGTCAAAAGCAATCAGTTCCCTCTTATCTAGTCTTGCGCACGCTCGTCTACACAAATCATGGCCAGTCATAACACAACAACAGGGTACCTCGACTTCAACTTCACAGTTACTGCTAGCTAGGTTCGTCCGTCAAGGAAGAAAATAAAATACCACAGCTAAACCAACCAATGAGTAACGCCTCTTATCCCATAGCCTGAACTAGTAAGAAACCCACTCTCTCTGTGATCATAATCGGATCAAGCCCTTCAGAATTGCTCTCATCAGCAACGATCCGCGCAAGAATGACGCTTCCCTATCCTTGATTATCTCTCACTTTTGTCATGCAGCACGCAGAGCACACTTGGAGCCCGAGGCGCGAGTAAGTGAGCCTGGTGTTGACGTCAACGGTAAACTCACTCCTTGCGTGACTCGCACAAGTCTGAACTCCTTTTTTTTTTTTCTTTTACATATCATATTTTCTTCCTTGCTACGAGCAATCCTCCCCTCAGCTCGCCACCTCACAGAGTCCTGGCAGTTAGACATGAGACCAACTGAGGGGGTGATGAGAACAGCAGAAGCAGTGTCGAGCTTTCTTGCTTCCCCTGTAGAGATAAAGCACGCCCTTTCATCGAGAGAGGTGACGGATATCTCTCACCCTCGAGTAGCAAGGCCTCAGTCAGTTTTTTCCGCGCGTTGAAGTCGAAACTGTCATCCGTAGTCTGAGTGCCTACCTCACAGTAGTTCGCACCGCTTGTCACGACCACTTCTTTGCTCGCCACATACTGCAGCCCAGTTGACGTCACCATCTTCCACCTACTCACGCACTTTGTTCTCCCTTCTCCCCCCTCCTTCTCTGTTAGCTGCCTTAGCACGCGTTAGCCTTCTGCTTCATCACTAGCGACTTCCATCCCAGAGCGACCCTCGCCAACAAAGTCCCTCACGAAAACGATGCCTCGCACGATGATTGGACGAGTCCCAGTGGTGCGATGGCGCTCAACGTCAACAACAACTCTCAGGCTTGTGCGTCCCTCCCTGTGTCTCACCAGCACACGTTGACCACTCCCTCTCTCAGGACACGCCACCTGTCGCGCGTGAGCTTATGCCACTCTCCCTACCTGTCCCTTCGAATAACACGTGTTGACTCTCTCTTTCCGGACACCATCCCTCACACACATCCTTTCCCCCTGTTTTGCTTCTCTTTTGTCCCGCGTCCCCTCGGCGTCAGTTGTCGAGAGCTAGCCTCGGGTCCTCCTTTCACTGGGTCTGCCGCTCGGTGATGCCTCTGGATCTCTTCTGGTCTGTTCCAGGACCTGAGATCCGTCTCCCGATCCGCATCACTCATCTCACTTTCCCCTCCTGAGTCTCTGTCCTGGTGGACCTGTTCTAGGTCTGCTGTGTCCATCGAGGGCTCAGTCTAGTGATACGCCACCGTTATCTGTAGCCTTGCCGTCACTCCGTCCCGTCTACAACGTCTCTCAGCCCGGTCTCTCGCCTCCGAAATCGCGTCCTGCAGCTTCGGGTTAGTCCGCATCTCCCCCTCTCTTGCTCCCTCCACGTTGATCTTCATCACCAGCTCATCTCCACCGTCATAATTGAGTATGACGGTAATCCAGGGGCCTTCCCCGGACACAGGCTTCCAGCGGGCCTGGTGATACCAGTACCCGGGTCTATACCCGTGCAACGCCATGGTTTTCACTCAAAATAGACAGTCTTGCCTCCAGGAATAGCCACCCAGCTCGCACAGACACCCACTACTCCTGACTTCTTGGCCCCAAACTAGCTGCGCCAGCACAACGGGGTAGCCAACTGATGCCCTTTAACTGGCCGCCAGATACCCAGCACTAGCGCTCCGCCCACACTCATACCCTATGAGCGGGTGATGGCTTACCAGACTCAGATCCGTCAAGAACAGACTTTAGCGAGTCACCACCACCCTACTCGCAGCACGATAGCCTCACTCGCTTGCCGCGTGCTGAAGAAAATTCAAATAATAATTTAAAGTGTATATATAATTAAAAAAAAAATACAAATATTCTCAAACAAATTCCTTTGTGAAAAGTCGGAATTCGCAGCTCAACTGTCGTAGTACAGACTAGACCTCTTGCTACTGTCACCTTCAGAACTCCGCGATGCTGCTACTGACCAACAGCGGCGATGAGGTGGTCCCATAACGGGATACCGACCACCTATTTCCTTCCTATTAAAAACACCAAAACGCTACCCCTGATGGGTACACACGTCCGATGGCAAGGATGGGGTTTATGACCCTCTGCAGGGGGTGATATTCCTTCTACCAATGTGGCCGCGGGTCGCCCTCCTTTTGGGGTCTTACCGCACTATGTCAATTCAGAGCTAGCCCACCGATAGTATACGTGGGGTCGGCTTACTTAGGTTGTGGGTCGCCGATTTTGAAATACGAACCGTTGGCCTTCCCGTGAGATGACAGGAAAAGGAAGGCCACGTCTGCAAACCGGTAAAGTAATAATAATAATAATAATAATAATAATAATAATAATAATAATAATAATAATAATAATAAGAATAATAAGAATAAGAATAATAACTATAGAAAGAAAAAGGATAGCGCTTCGAATTCCTCCACACTGCAGCTCAACCCGGATAGTGGTACAAATCCACGTACAGGTCTAAAACCCGACTGTATTTGCCGCTTATCATAGCTACATGGGTTCTATCGCACGATGCATAAATGCACTGACCCGGTACATGGGATATGCGAAGGGCAACGATACCACCGTCAAATCTCGAAGCCAGAATCGTTGGCCACCCAACGAAGCGACGAGAACCGAAAGAAAAACCTGTGTCTGAGAATAATAATAATAATAATAATAATAATAATAATAATAATAATAATAATAATAATAATAGAATAATAAAATTAGGGCACAAAGATAAATCATAACACAGCGGCGATCAGATGTTACTAGATCAGCTCTGACTAAAATAATGGTCTAGATCAGTGCGCCATTCTGATACCCGATTTTCTTTTCGCCTTCTCTTTTCCTCTTTTCTCTCTTATTTCCTGCTTTCCCTTTTTCTTTTTTCCTCCTTTGCCCCTCCTATTCGACTGTCACAGCTAGCCTACGTACCTAACCCATAACTCGACCAGGGCATGTTCGGCGCGCAGTAGAAAAGATTGCGCCGGTCTTTTCAACTCCGCGTCCCAGGGCAAACCCGGCGGCTACCACGACCACAGGCAGGTTGTGCTCTGCTGTACAGCAGGGCGCCGAGCCTGCACGGACGAATGGAAAGCCCTGCGACGCACCTTTTTGCTAAGGCAGGCGCCAAACAGGACTGGTCCACATCGTAGTACAGCCCAGGCACCGAATGTCATAGCGTTTCGGGGGTAGCTTCAGATCACAGTACTAAGACTAAAGGTGGTACCAAGTAGGGACTTGGCACACAGAGGAGGGACGGGACACCGTGCCCTCCAACAGCGAGGGCGTTTCAGATACCCGTCGGACATCGAATCCACTGCCACGTATCCTCGAATAGCACAAATGCCGTTTTCAGACGATCTTCTTCTCGAACAAGAAGATGATGGAACCCATGGCGAACATCAAACTTGCTGAAAAATCGAGCACTCCCAATCGCATCCAACAACTCATCAATCCGGGGAAGGGGGTACACATCTTTGATCGTGATATCATTCAACTTTCGATAATCAATGCAAATGGGAATTCCTCTAGCCTTTTTAGGCACGATTACTACGGGAAAAGACCAGGGACCTATTGCGGGTTTCGATCCATCCATTAACTTTTAATTCTTTAATCCGTTGAAAAGCGGCCACTCGTTGAGCTAGCGAGTATCGGTAAGGAGCGCAACTAATGGGTGGATGATCTCCTGTGAAAATGACATGCTCGATCACATTAGTTAAGCCGATGTCATTATCGTGTATGCTCAATACTTCTGCGTAACCAGTTAACACACAGATTAACGATTTCCGAAGTTCTACGGGGACGTGACCCGGTAGGGTGATTGTTGATTCCCCGGAAATCTTAAGGGGCATATCGAATCAACCGGCCGTTCCCTCCGATCATGGACAATAGAGTAAACGGAACTACTGGTGCGAACAGAGAAGACAGTTGCTATCATCTGGAACTCAGCGGGGCTGATAATCTCCGTTTCTTTAGTTTCAGCATCAGTCTGTGAACCAGCCGAGGTTGGTTCCACAGTTAGCCCCGTTAGATCCATCATTTCTTGCATCAGATCACGTACATCACTTACCGGCGCTTCCGCCTCTTCTTTAATCAAGGCGATGGTGGCTTCTGTCGTTAGTAACGATCTGGGCGAAAAAACAGAAACATCTAAATACTGTTCCGTTTGCTGATAACGCGTTCGTAAGGATAGAGCTCCTTCGTACAAGGTGCGAGGGGGTTCCAAATCATCGGCCAGGTCAGATACTTGTAATATGGGTTCCCCTAGAAGGACTGAAGGACTAACTTGGGTTATCGGAGGCGCAAGCACGCTGTCTCCTGAATCCACGTGGAAGCTTCGGGCAGTTTCGGGGCACACTTGAAATTCGTCGGGAATTTCATGTTCAAAAAGTTCGACCAGGTGCTTCCATTCATCTTTGTTAGGAAGCTCTTCTTTGTATTCTGGTTCCCCGATTCCACTATCGATGTCTGAGGAGGAACACTCCTCGGGATTAATGTATCGAATCATCCTTATTTGGGCCGAGTTAGGGATTCGTTTTATCGTTCGGGTGGAAATTCGCAAGGGAACATTTTGAGGTTTTCCCCCAGTTTGCGTGAGCACCAGTTGTTTCGAATCGAAATGCAGTCGTGCGCCCACCGCCATCGCCCAAGGTAGTCCCAACAACACGGAATAGGAACGCACATCTATCACGAGCGCGTTGACGAGGACGTGCATTCGACCCACCTTTACAGCCACATTCTCAATAATGCCTACGATGTTCATTGCTTCCTTGTCGGCTGAGACATAATTGTCCTTGCCAGATTGAGGAAGAATGGAGCTGAGTCGTCCCGTCTTTCTGACAGTGTCTAATGATATGGCTACTGCAGAAGACCCTGTGTCGATAAAGGCGTTAAAAGACTTGCCCCAAACTTCACAATCACATTTCGCGCTCTTCCACAGTACCGGCCGAGCTCGTACGAAGTGATCTTTTTCTTCTAAAGAGATCGCCACTATACGCGCGGCCTCAGGTTCGCGGGCTTCGGGTTCGGGCGGTATAACTTCCTCGCTTTCTTCTTTCTTCTTCAACATTCGCTGTATGCGCTGATAGGTGAAGCGCTTTTGATATTTCTGGCAATGTTGCAAAAGTTTATCATTCGCTGCTTCAGATATGGTGAGCAGATGTCCCACCGGGATCGGAACACGAATATCCAATTGCTTGAGTGCTCGTAACACATCAATTTCTCCTGTCCGAAACTGCGGACCAGGATTGGATTCACGATCGACCCATTCAAGATCATCCTGGGCCGATCGGTTGCTCCGACCATGCCTGCAAGATGAAGATATTCGAGTGGGTCGACCACATCAGCAGCGTCCGAGGAAGAAATTCCTGATGTCGTACCGTTGCCGTAGAGGGGGAAGGCTATTCTTGGGCATATGCTACGAGTTCTCCTCCCTGGGCCGTATCCATCAAAGCGGCCATTCGTCCTTGATTTAGGGCCACAGGGGCTGCTGCAGGTGGGCGCTGACTACGCTTTGGCTGCGGGCAGTCTCGGGCAAAATATCCGGGCTGTTTGCAGTTAAAACACTCGATCTTTCCTGCTGGATTAGCTAGGTGAGGGAACTGAGGTGCGTACCCTGGTGTAGGCGGGGCAGGCAGGAGTGGAAATGACACGGGAGCAGGCCGAGCAGGGGCCGAGTTAGG